GTGCATCTCGAGCCCCAGATCGCACGCAAGTAATTAAAGCGGGTTTTAGTGGCTTGGAACTTGAAACGAAGATACAATACTTATGTAGGCTGAAGATTTGATTGAGTAATTCTGTCACAGCGGAAACCGAACTTCGCTGGATCTGAGTATCTTTCAAAGTTAAAGGTGACTGCTAAATAGCACATAAAAACTCGAGAAACAAAACTGATCAGAGTAATTCATATATAGCAGTGATACATCTATTTTTCACCGTATTTGAAGGTCCGAAGTGGAATGGACGCCGATAAGTTCATGTATATTCAGCCGCTCCAAATGGAGCGAAACACCATACGCAACATGTCAACCGAGGAAACATGGTTTGTAGAGTTCCATTGACCGTATTTGAATACAGTCTTTTTGCTTTTTTTTACTCCATGAGGACATTTGAACTTCGGAGTGTAGAGCCCGAAGCATACACACCGTTGGATAAACAGCACCTAATAATCTTCGCCTATACTTAGCATTGCTTGTCCGCTTTCCCATCAAACATGTGTGACGCGGCGTGGAAAACCGTATTCAAACAGTCTGCATGTAACATCCATTTCCAACGACTATGCTACTGCACCACATATCAGTACACGTCGGACTGCTGCATCATATACTCGAAGGTCCATGAGTAGTCTGATGGTGCGAAGAGGCTGTAGGTATCTTATCTTAGTAAAAGGCAATCTGATTTTCTGCCAGGAGCGATATATTTCTCTATATTCGGGTCCAACGTAAGACCATCTATCTCATCAACAACCCGTCCCTAGCAAGCAATTTGCAGTCACTTCTTTATACTTATTGTATCGATACTGCTTTAGGTTTTGCTCTAATGAGCTTCCCGCTTTCGTCCATTTCCCACTGGTCCTTCGTCATAGATCCCGCGCACAAGCGGCTAGCCACCCATTTCAAATGACTAGCCTCAGGTGTTGCATTTCTAAATTTCAATCATCTTTTTCCCCAAGAGCAGCACAACTGTGGAACACTCTCCCCCTTACAGTCCTCCCTCCAACGTACAACGTCCTTGTCCTTAAACGCAGAATCAAACAGCTGGTTCTAGCTTGAGTGTACCCCTTACCTTCCCACCTACAGTATATCTTCGGATCATGGGGGTACCTCTTTGACTGTATATACTTTCATGTAATAAAAAAGAGGTATAATGGGCCAGGCATGTATCAGCTCCGTGAAACTTAAGTGTGAATGGAACAAATCAGTCTTCTAAAATCATTTTGTATTTTTAATGTGCAAAAGGACTTGGAGGGTCAGGTCCGCTGGCCCCCGTTGACACAAGACCTCCCTATACCTGCTTTAACTAGGCAAATATTGCTGGCTGACATCAATACTATGCTTGAAATGGAGGTTATCCGAGAAGTAAAGCACTTCAAAAGGTATAAGGCCTCCGGTCCGGATGGGCTGTCCCCATCAGTTTTAAAGGATGGAGGTTCAGCCTTGGTTTTGGAGCTAACGAAACTCGTCGGATCAGTGTGGGAGAGGGAAGAGGTTCCAGCAGGTGTGAATCGGTCATCACACTGATTTACAAGGAAGGTAACAGGTCCTCTTGTGAAAAACCACACAGGGCTTAATTTAAACATCGTCTCTAAACTTCTCGCTGATATTATGCTCCGTCAATTGTCTACCGCATTTGAAGAGTGCACGTGTGAGAACCAGGCTGATCTTAGACCTGGTCGGGGTTGTATCGACCACATCTTCACTCCTCGTCAAATTCTAGGACACGGACACCTCTTTGGTAGACCCCCCATTTCTCTCTTCCTCGATCCGAAGGCGGCTTCAGACTCAGTCAACCGCTCTAAACTCTGGCGCTGCCTCACTCTGAAGAGTGTGCCTGAGAAGTTTATTTCAATACTACAATCCCTTTATACCATTAACCGGAGCCAATTTAGAGCTTACGGTACTTTTTCGTCCGGGTTTATCACGGAAAGTGATGCTCGTCAGGGTTGCCCTCTTGCTCTAGCTTTGTTATAGATTTGATTATGTCCTATTCTCTTGCGGTGATAGCGGCATCGATTTATTTCCAGGTGGCAAACTGTCTAATCTGGAGTACGCAGACGACATTGTGCTACTACATGAAAATCCAGGTAAGTTGCAAGCTTTTCTGAATAGTTTGAGTGCTAGTGTATCCATGTTCG